CGATATGTATGTTCCTATGACCATTTTCTTAATTGTTTTGGGTTTGTTTCTGTAGGTCCTTTTCTTCTCTTGTGTTTCCCACTTAGAGAAGTTCCTTTAGCGTTTGTTGTAGAGCTGGTTTGGTGGTGCTGCATTCTCTTAGCTTTTGCTTGTCTGTAAAGCTTTTGATTTCTCCATCGAATCTGAATGAGATCCTTGCCGGGTAGAGTAATCTTGGTTGTAGGTTCTTCCATTTCATCACTTTAAGTATATCATGCCACTCCCTTCTGGCTTATAGAGTTTCTGCTGAGAAATCAGCTGTTAACCTTATGGGAGTTCCCTTAAGGCAATAATTTATCTGTGTCTTTAATTTTTGCCAATTTGATTACTATGTGTAATCAAATTGGGTTTATCCTGTATGGGACTTGCTTGGGTTTATCCTGTATGGGACTTGCTGCACTTCCTGGACTTGGGTGTTTATTTCCTTTCCCATGTTAGGGAAGTTTTCAACTATAATCTCTTCAAATATTTTCTCAGGTCCTTTCTCTCTCTCTTCTCCTTCTGGGACCCCTATAATGCGAATGTTGTTCCATTTAATGTTGCCCCAGAGTTAGGCTGTCTTCATTTCTTTTCATTCTTTTTTCTTTATTCTGTTCCACAGCAGTGAATTCCACCATTCTGTCTTCCAGGTCACTTATCCGTTCTTCTGCCTCGGTTATTCTGCTATTGATTCCTTCTAGTGTAGTTTTCATTTCAGTTGTTGTATTGTTCATCTCTGTTTTTTTTCTCTTTAATTCTTCTAGGTCTTTGTTAAACACTTCTTGCATCTTCTCGATCTTTGCCTCCATTCTTTTTCCGAGGTCATGGATCATCTTCATTAGCATTATTCTGAATTCTTTTTCTGGAAGGTTGCCTGTCTCCACTTCATTTAGTTGTTTTTCTGGGGTTTTATCTTGTTCCTTCATCTGGTACAAAGCCCTCTGCCTTTTCATCTTGTCTATCTTTCTGTGAATGTGGTTTTTGTTCCACAGGCTGCAGGACTGTAGTTCTTCTTGCTTCTGCTGTCTGCCCTCTGGTGGATGAGGCTGTCTAAGAGGCTTGTGCAAGCTTCCTGATGGGAGGGAATGGTGGTGGGTAGACCTGGGTGTTGCTCTGGTGGGCAGAGCTCAGTAAAACTTTAATCCTCTTGTCTGCTGATGTGTGGAGTTTTTGTTTGGCCTGAGGTGTCCCAGCACTGGCGCCTACAGGCTCTTTGGTGGGGCTAATGGTGGACTCTGGGAGGGCTCACGCCAGGGAGTACTTCCAGAACTTCTGCTGCCAGTGTCCTTGTCCTCATGGTGACACACAGCCACCGCCCGCCTCTGCAGGAGACCCTCCAACACTAGCAGGTAGGTCTGGTTCAGTCTCCCCTGGGGTCACTGCTCCTTCCCCTGGGTCCTGATGCGCACACTACTTTGTGTGTGCCCTCCAAGTGCGGAGTCTCTGTTTCCCCCAGTAGAAATCCTGTAGAAATTTTTTCCTGTAGAAATCCTGCAATCAAATTCCACTAGCCTTCAAAATCTGATTCTCTGGGAATTCCTGCTCCCATTGCTGGACCCCCAGGCTGGGAAGCCTGACATGGGGCTCAGAACCTTCACTCCAGTGGGTGGACTTCTGCGGTATAAGTGTTCTCCAGTCTGTGAGTCACCCACCCAGCGATTATGGGATTTGATTTTATTGTGATTGCGCCCCTCCTACCATCTCATTGTGGCTTCTCCTTTGTCTTTGGATGTGGGGTATTTCTTTTGGTGAGTTCCAGTGTCTTCCTGTCAATGACTGTTCAAGCTGGCTGGTTGTTGCTCAAGGTTTCTCAGTGGGTCACAGGCAGGCTGGGATTGGGGTCACTTCCAGGTTTCTGGCTCTCCTGTCTGGTGATTGATACTGGCTGCCAGCTGGGAGCTCAGCTGAGGTTGTCAACTGCAACACCTACCCATAGCCTCTCCATGTGGCTTGGGCTTCCTCACATGATGGAGGCTGGTTCCAGAAGGAAGCATCCCAGGAAGGAGCTGCATTGCCATGTATGACCTAGCCTTGTGGTGTAGTGTCACTTCCACCATTCTCTATTGGTTAAGATGGACACAGAGTTCTGCCCAGGGTCAAGATGAGACCTAGACCCCACTTCTTGTCCAGGGGTGTCGAGTTCACACTAAAGAAGAGCAAGTGGCATGGGAGAGATTGTTACTCCTGTTTTTGGAGGATGCAATCTGCCCCATCCCCCTGGAGTGTCACATCCAGGAGGGCAGGGTCCTTGTGCCTAGAAAGTGCCTGGCACACAGTAGGTGCTCACACATCAGGAATTTTTTTCTGAAAAATCCCATGTTCTGAAAAGTCACACGTTTGAAATAACAGGATATTATTTATATATTTATGTATTAAAATATATAAATAATGTATTGTTTATCTTAGGATATTAATTATAATAATATATTAAATGTAAGTTAAATATTATATTTAATAATAAAAATATTTGGGCAAAAATAGGGTTGAGGGCAGGACACCAAAACCCACAGCACTTTGTACCCAGAGTGCTAATAAAGCCAGTAGTCAGGACTTCCCTGGTGGCACAGTGGTTGAGAATCCGCCTGCCAAAGCAGGGGACACGGGTTCGAGCCCTGGTCCGGGAAGATCGCACATGCCACGGAGCAACTTAGCCTGTGCACCACAACTACAGAGCCTGTGCTCTAGAGCTGTGAGCCACAACTACTGAGCCCGTGAGCCACAAGTACTGAAGGCCGCATGCCCAGAGCCTGTGTTCCGCTGCCATGAGAAGCCCATGCACCTCAACGAAGAATAGGCCCCACTCACCGCAACTAGAGAAAGCCCACACACAGCAACAAAGACCCAATGAAGCCAAATAAATTGATTAATTAATTTAAAAAGAAAAGCCAGTAGTCATCCTGGTCAATCCCTACCCCAGGTAAACCTCTCCTGGTTTCTGTGCCCAGTCTCTGGCCTCAAACTCAGGGTACCTGCCTTCTCCTTTGAGATGAAAGCATTTGCTCCTAAGAGAGGTCACTTTTAACCTAGTTCAAATCTGATCCAGCCTGTGGATGTCTTCATTAATTTATTTCTTCAAACTAGGGGGAAATGTCTTTGCAGTGTCTTCACCTGAACTTGAAACTTTCCCAGGTAAGAGAGCAAAAGCTGTAGAGGTTCTTGAGGCCCTGAATCAGCCACAGAGCCCAGCAACAAAACACAACAATGAATAAAAGAAATAAACAAATGTAAGATTAAAACACACACACACACAATACAACCATGAAATGCAGTCGTGGAACTCAACATAAAAGCCAGCTGTAAAACCTGTCTATAGAACCCAACACAAAACCCAGCCACGGAATCCAGCCACAAAGCTCAAACCTGGAACCCAACCACAGAATCCAATACAAAACTTGGCCACAGAATTCAACCACGGAGCCCAGTCACAAACCCCACTGTAGAATGAAGCCACAGGACCCAGCCACAGAACCCAACATAAAACCCAGACACAAACTCAACAGTGGAACCCAGCCACAGAACCCAACAGATAACTCGGCCACAGAATTCAACCACAGAACCCAATCACAAACCCCCACTACAGAATGAAGCCACAGGACCCTGCCACAAAACCCAGCCAGAGAACCCAACATGAAACCAAGCCACAAAACTCAGGCATGGAACCCAGCAACTACTCACCCTGAAGGGAGACGTTTTTGTAGCTCTTCCATTTTTTCTTTTTAAATAAGGTTTTTCTTATTTATGTCATTAAGACTTTCTCTTTACAAAAAGTGCTAGGAAAGAAACCACGTGTGAACAAATGCTTCTGGGTTACCTCAACATCCAGCGTCCCTTCATCAATTCCAACCAGATGACTTACAAAACGGAAGTCCAGGTTGTAGCACAGCAAGCTGTAATTATGGAATTTGTCAGTGGAGACCTGGACGCCCAGGACCAAACTGCAGAAGCTCATTCAAGCCTCTACGATGCAGCCCAATGCTGTGTCGAGAGGGAAGTGTTGGTGATTCTGCTGCTGCCCAGCTGGGCACACTCAAGCCAAATTGCTTCCTTGCTTTGCCGTGTGTAAAATGTAGCTCCAAGACCAGCTCTGTGCAGTTGCCCAGAGCCCCATGCTCAGAAGAAACTTGCACTTCGTTTTAGGCTCTGCAGCTGCCCTCTGGGAATTTTTTTCCTCCCCAGCTTTATTGAGATCTAACTGGCACGTAACTGTGTACACTTAAGGTATATGATATGTTGATTCAATACACTTGTAAACTGCAAAACCATTACCACTATAGCCATCCCGTCACATAGTTACCATTTCTTTTTCGTGATGAGAACATTTAAGATCTACTCTCTTAGCAACTTTCAAGTATGTGGTACAGTATTATTAGCTATAATCACCATGCCAGACGTTAGATCCCAAACCTTTTAATCTAATAACTAGAAGTTTGTACCCTTTGACCAACATCATCTTCCCATTCCCCTCCCCACCCCCCTTATTTTGGTTTCTAAGGGAAAGGCAAGGTGGAGCAGGGTAAGATTCAGGATTGACTTATTTGAATAATTTCAGCCAACTCTGTGGTGTAGGGGCTCTCCCTAGTCGCCTGGTACTTAGCCTCAGGGTGAATGGAGCAGGGGAATGTTGGCTCGGAGTGGAGAGCCCGGTAAGGACGTGGTTGTGTTTATGAGTTTTGCATTGGCTGGTTTGCAAAGGAAAGAAAGGTGCGCTCTCCGAGGCAGCTGTTCACTATCTCTAGGAATTAGCTAATCTCGGGAGGACCCTGTCTCCAGGATCAGCAGGGCCCCCGGATGTCAAAGCATCAAAAAATACAGAACATGCAAACGCATGATTAATATACTCTTTCACATTGTGACTCTACTCACCTTTACCCCTTTATCGCTACACCTGTTCCCTGGTCCTGAGCTAGCACATGAGTCCTGTGCCTACTGTTTCCCTCCTATCTCCTTAGCAGCACAAGTCTCTCAGGGAGCCTGAGACCCACATGTCCTTCGCCTTCCCAGATATGTCCCCAGAACTCACCTCAACGTTGTCCACCGACCCAGGTAAGGGCCCAAGCATCCTCCTGAATGGCAACTTCTCCCTCATCCCCTGCCGCCGGTTGACCATCCAGCTCTATTGGAGATGTCCCCTCTTCACTCCACCAGTGATGCACGGCTTCATTCCATCAACAAGTGCGTATCAGCCCCTTCATGCAACGGGCCCTAGGTTCCTGGAGCCACTGCAATGGCCGGGACAGACAGGGTCCCTGCCCCAGGGATCCAGACACTTGACCTCTGTTTCTGCTTTTGAACCAGCTTCCTGCCTGGTGCTCCTGACTCAGCCCAGCCCCATGCCCACCAGCCACCAGCAGCTAGAGAGATGGCTTTGAAAGAGACAGGGTGGCATCCCTCATCCCCACTTAGAATCCCCCAGAGATGTCCTAGCGCCCTGAAAAGAGCTCACGCTTCTTAGCTGGGTGATTCACTCATTCCTTCCTTTTGGTCTTAGGCACTGATCACCACACACACACACACACACACACACACACACACACATGCGCGCACGCGCCTGCTCCCCCAGGACATCAGAGCCTCACTTGTCCCCAGGCCCATTCACACGCCCTCTTAAGCCTCTCTGGTATCAGATGGGCAAAGACCAAAGTTTGAGCAGACAAGGTGTGGGCTGAACAATGGGGACCCAGCCCGTCAGTCATTGCAGGTGTGACCCAGCCCTGGGCACAGCCTTGGAGGAGGGCAATCAGAGGCCAGCTATAAAACTGTGAAATGCACATGCCCTTCGGCTCAGCCATGCCACTTTTTTTTTTTTGCGGTATGCGGGCCTCTCACTGTTGTGGCCTCTCCCATTGCGGAGCACAGGCTCCGGACGCGCAGGCTCAGCGGCCATGGCTCACGGGCTCAGCCGCTCCGCGGCATGTGGGTTCTTCCCAGACCGGGGCACAAACCGGCGTCCCCTGCATCGGCAGGCGGACTCTCAACCACTGCGCCACCAGGGAAGCCCAGCCATCCCATTTCTGGGAATGCATCCTGCAAATAAACTTGCATGTGCAAGGAAATTCGAGAAGAGATTCCTTGCTACGTAATTTGTGGTAGGAAAACATGAATGTCTGCCCACTGTGGTCCAGTTAAATAAAAACAGGGGCCTTTCCACGATATGGGACCCTGTGTAGCTGCCACGTGGGAGGAAGCAGGTCAGGACACACTAATAGAAGCGGCTTAGATGCATGCACTGTGATGGGTGCTTTACCTGTGTTTGTGTTTTTTCTTGGCACGTACCGAAACACCACATTTAGATCTGGAAACCAGGTGTTGTAATTCTCCCCCATTTTACGGATGAGGAGGGAAGCTGAGGTGGCATTGAAGGGTTAAATGATCTGCCTGGAGTCACAGAAGAAGTGACAGAACCAGGAGCTGAATCTGGGCAGTCCACAATGCTAATCTCCGAGTTAGCATACCTCAGTGAATTTGTAAAGGTGTCCAACATCCACCGTTCATTTCAAAAGCACGGAACGGTTTTGTAAAATGTTAGTATTTAGGAGAAGAATTAAACGGAAACACGCCTCCAAGAGATATTTGTACACCCATGTTGATGGCAGCATTAACCACAGTAGCCGAAAAGTTGGAAGCAACCCGAGTGTCCATCGGCAGATAAATGGATCAACAGAATGTGGTCCGTCCATACAATGGAATATTATTCAAGCCTTTAAAAGGAGGAACATTCTGACACCTGCTGCAACATGGATGAACCTTGAGGACATGACGCTCAGTGAAAGAAGCCAGACACAAAAGGACAAATTCTGTGTGGTTCCACTTACAGGAGGTCCCAAGAGGAGCCAGATTCATAGAGACAGAAAGCAGAATGGTAGGTGCAAGGGCTGGGGGAGGGGATGAGGGAGTTAGCATTTCATGGGGACAGAGTTTCAGTTTTACAAGATGAAAACAGTCTTGAGGATGGATGGTGATGGTTGCACAACAATGTGAATGTACTTAATGCTGTTGAAATGTACACTTTAAAAGTGCCCTTCTTTCCTGTTAGTGGCAGCTCTGTCCACGGGAGCATCTGTTAGTATTTGCCAATGACAGTATGTAGCAAGGAATGAGTGTGGGCGTTGTTGCCTGAGGCTGCAGGGGGCGGGGCATGGCTGGGGCTGATTTCCAAGATACCTGAGTTTATGCAACTCGGCTGGCACCCAAATCACAGAGGCTCTCCACATCAGAGAAACCTCAGTATCTGGCCAGCTGGGAACAGGGTAAAGAGGCAGATAGTTTTTCCCAAAAGAGGGTGTAAGTTTACCTGGTCAGAGAATAGATTCAGGGCAGGGGACCTGGGAAGGGAGGGAAGGAAGGAGTTTTGCCTGCAAGGGCCCCTCTCCCATCCTCGCCCTCCCCTCATCTTTTCCCAGGCAGATTAAAGAGACTTAAAAACATTTTTTTTATTGAACTACAGTTGATTTACAATATTGTGTTAATTTCTGCTGTACAGAAAAGTGATTCAGTTACACATATATGTATACATTCTTTTTAAATATTCTTTTCCATTATGGTTTATCATAGGATATTGAATATAGTTCCCTGTGCTATACAGTAGGACCTTGTTTATCCATTCTATATATGAAAGCTTACATCTGCTAACTCCAACCTCCCACTCCATCCCTCCCTCACCCCCATCCCCCTTGGCAACCACAAGTCTGTTCTCTATGTCTGTGGGTCTGTTTCTGTTTCATAGATAGGTTTATGTTATATTTTAGAGTCCACATATTAGTGATACCATATAGTATTTGTCTTTCTCTTTCTGACTTACTTCACTTAGTATGATAATCTCTAGTTGCATCCATGTTCCTGCAAATGGCATTATTTTGTTCTTTTTTATGGCTGAGTAGTATTCTATTGTATATATGTACCACATCTTTTTTTTTTTTTTTTTTTTTTGTGGTATGCGGGCCTCTCACTGTTGTGGCCTCTCCCGTTGCAGAGCACAGGCTCTGGACGCACAGGCTCAGCGGCCATGCCTCACGCGCCCAGCCGCTCCGCGGCATGTGGGATCTTCCCAGACAGGGACACGAACCCGTGTCCCCTGCATTGGCAGGCAGACTCTCAACCACTGCGCCACCAGGGAAGCCCTGTACCACATCTTTAAAGAGCACTTTTAGTGGGAAATCAATGCCGAACCACAAACTGCAGGCACAGGTGAGCAGGTGGGCAGGGCAGGGGCTGCAGTGTGGAAAGACCAACCTCCCAGAGGTTCCTAGAGATCAGAAAAGGCATCAGCTTTGCACGCCCACAAGCTGAATCTTCTCAGGGCCCACTGAAGTTTAGACATAGTAGCGGTTGATGATCATGATTATAATTAGTTGCAATGCATCTAAGCTTCCCCATGGAAGGGGCAGGAAGCCCCAGCCAGGGCACAGGCTGTCTTTGTATAGATTGCAAAAGAAAGTGTGCCCTCTAAGAGGCAAGAGCACACAGGAATCAGAGTGTGGGCTGTGGAATTGCAGGACAGAGTTCAAATTCCAGCTCTGCCAGTGAATTATTCAACCTCTTTGAAACACAAAGTTTACTCTTGTGCAAAATGGGCATGACAGCAACACCAGTTGTGAGGGGCTGTCACGTGAGTTGGATAATATATATAAAGAAGAAAGGCAGTGCCTGGCACATGAAAAGTACATTCTGACTCTTAAGTATTACTTCATGATTGTTATTGTTGATGTATGATGTTTGACACTCAAATGTAACCTCGAATCCCTATGGAGACCCTAGAAGGCAGGGATTATTATTATTTGCATCTTCCAGATGGGAGATCAAGAGTCATGAAGATTGAACCTGAGAGCCTAGAGCTATAGAGTAATGAGTGGGGATTTCATCCAGCTTGCCCATTGCCCCAGACTCAGAGGCCTCTCCTTGTCCTGGATCAAAGCCCCAGACATGGAGGGGAAGCCAGGCATCCGGTCTGTGAATGGCACAAGAAGGGCAGAGTTCATCAGAGCGGATTCTCCGGCCATGGCTAAGCCCCCTAATTCCAGCTACAGTTCTTTTCTCTTTTACTGGGTTCTAGGAAGATGCTTTCTTGTGTCCCTTACCCGGCAGGGCACAACCGCTTTCCAATCCCACCAGCCCCATCCTTCCCGTCTGGAGCTGTGGACAGTGTCTCCAGGGCCTGGGCTATTCTCATGGCCATTCTGGCCACTGAACATGAATTTTCCATTAATTTATCTCCCCAGAATGGTGCTTGTTTTCCAGGAATCTGGGGGCGGGTGTCATTCACTGGAGCCCCTACTTTGCCCATTTTGTGGACGGACGTTTCTGGACGGTGAGTGACCACATGTATCCAAAAGTTGAATAAATGGCCTTTGACCCAGAAATTCAACGTTTAGGATTCAATCTTAAGAAAATTATTAAAGACTTAATAAAAGTTATATATATATATAATATATGTATATTACATAAACATATAGTTATATATATATTATATACATATACAATTATATTTATACATTATATATTACATATAGTTACATCATATAGATGTATGTAATACATATCTATATATAATGTATACTTATGCAATATAGTTATATGTATATAAGTATATATGTTATCATAAGAGTAAGTAATTAGAAGCAACCTAAATGTCCAATAATACCGATAGAATATTGGTTAAGTATATAATGCTATGGCCACATAATAGAATACTATATGGTCAATTAAAAAAATGAGAAAAATTTAAAAATGAGGTCTAAATTTATGGGCATGGAAAAATGTCAATTATCATGAAACAAAACAGATGGTTAGAAAAATAACCGATTATAGATAAGGCTAGTTAATGAGAAATGGGAACCACAGGAAAAATTTTAAGGGGCATGGAGGATAAATCCAGGTATTCCAATAGAGAAGTTTCCGCAAGGAACTAGAACGGGCAAGCTCCAAGTGGTATAAATTGTCTGATTTGCGCAGTGTTATATTGCCAGGACCTAGAATGGTGCGCAATAAATAGCTGTTATCAATAAGAACAATATTTGAAGAAATAATGGTAGGAATTTCCTGAGGCG